CTGATTCACCTGGTGAAAGAACTCATTCATAGTCTCGCTCACCTCGCGCCATTCGTTGGCAGGTGTGCAAAAAACTGTGCTCCCTGACCTTGTCCCCAAAGGCACTCAGCAAGTCCCTGTGCCACTGGTCGTACTTTGCCTTCACCCTGGATTGCACCTGGAAGGTGCCACAATCGCGCGACACGCAGCGCACTGTCACGGAGACAAACTGCCTTGCTGTAGTCGACGACAATTGGGCCAAAATAGACGTCTTGTTCCGAGCCCTCAAAGCGGTTGCTGAGCCATTGGATCTCTGTGAGCATACCTCAGGCATCGCTTTGATGGCACGCCTCAATCGAGACCATTGTGCCCGCGGCTGTACCATCGTGTCAAGTCATCCTTGGAAGGCTGGTCAGTTGTGAGCCATTTGTCACAGTGTCTGGGGGAAGCACACCCACTCGCTTTAGGACCTTGGAGGGCTCACACATTCGAGTCGGTCAAAGCCATGATGTGACCAAGGCGGGCACCCCGCTCGTACTGATCTCCCACAAGGATTGATATTGCATCCAGCTGGACACGTACTCCTTTCCATGTTACGACATGTACATCCCTTGCAGTGTCAATGCGGGAAGAAAGTCCTGCATTGTTTCGCACATGACGGTCACCTGACTCGCATCATGTGTTGCCGCTGCATGAGGATATCTCTCCACTGAGGCACGCAACTCTGCAAAAGTGTGGCCGTTTAGCATTTGGTTGGATGCTAGGGTTCAACACTGCAAAGCTTGACCTGCGCTCTGCCTTCCTTTGCTTGGACGTAAGCATCGAAACAACTTGCACAAATTTGCTGAAGCCGCAAGCTTGAAAAGGCGGCCAAGGGCCACGATAAGCGGGAGGCTGACGTGGCTTCGTTCTTGCTCCAAGCCTGATCATAGACCTCCTGCAGGACTTTCTGATCCATTTGCGCCTCGGCCACATGACAACTAGGCTGTTCACCATGCAATCATGAGGCGGCAGCAATAAGACGACGATGAGTGGGTATGCAAGTATCCCGTGCTCCGCGCCTTCATGACGCACCGTTGGCTTGGCCCAAACAAGAACAACAGAACTGGTCCGCCGCTCTCTTCACTCCTTCCTCTTTCTTTGTTGGATCTGTTGCTCCTCTTTATTCACCATGTCTTTCCTCTGTCTTACTCACTGTGACTCCTTCTTTATTCGTTGTTTTCTCTTTCTGAATCTGATGGTACTCTGTCTTTACTCTTTCTTTCCTCTGTCTATACTCGTTGTTACTCTTTCTTTGCTGCTACTCCTGCTTTCCTCTGAATACTCGTTGTCTACTCTTTCTTTTCTCTTTGCTTACGCTTACTTGTTCTGAATCTGTTGTTACTCTTTCTTTGGTCTGTCTGTCCTTTTTTTTACTCGTTGTTTACTCTTTCTTTACTCGTGGCTCACTCTTTCTCGAGTCTGTTTCTGCTCTGCCTTCCTCTTTCCCCCTTCTTGTATCGTTGTTCACCATTTCTTTTCAGAGTTTACTCATTCTTTACTCGTTGCCTACACGTACTCTTGCTTGAACCTGTTGTTACTCTTTCCTTCCTCTTTCCTTCCTTTATCTTTCCTTTTTCAGTTGTTTGCTCCTTCTTGAATCTGGTGCTTCTTGTTGTTGACTCTTTAATTCCTCGTTGTTTACTCGTTGTGTAATCTTTCTTTACTCGTCCTTGACACTCTTTCTCGAATTTATATTTACTCTATATTTACTCTTACTTCCTCCTTCGAATCTCGTTGTTGACTCCTTCTTTACTCGTTGTTTACTCTTGCTTGAATCTGTTGTTACTTTTTCTTTACTCCTTCTTTGTCTTCTGTACTCCTTGCTTACTGTTTATTGAAGCTTTTGCTATTTTATCTTTACTCGTTGCTTGCTCTTTCTTGGACTTGTTGTTCATCGTTCTTGGATATGCTATCAATCTGTGCTCTTTCTTCGTGATGGCCTTTCTGTGTCTTTTCTCTTTCTTTACTCTTTGGTTACGGTGTCTCCTTCTTCATTCGTTGCAGCCATATTTGTACTTTTCTGTATACTCGGTATTTACTCGCTTGGTACTCTTTCCTAACCCTTGTTGTATTTTTTCTTTACTCAGTCTTTACTCCTTCTTGCTCTTTCTTGAATCTGTTGTTACTCTTTCTTTACTCTTTGCTCACGAGTTCCTTCCTCTGTCTTTAGTCGTTCTTTACTATTGGTTTCTGCTTCTTTATTCTTTCTTAGCCTTGTTTGTACTCTTTATTTACTCTTGCTTCGCTCTTTCTTGACTCGTTGTATACTCTTTCTTGGATCTGTTGTTCCATCTTTATTCTTTCTCAACCCTTGTTGCATTCTGCTTTACCTTTTCTTTACTCTGTTTCACCCTTTCCTTCACTCTTTCCTCCTGATTGCTTTACTCTGTCTTTACTCTGTCTCGGTTCTTTGGTTACATCTTAACTGTTTCTTAAGACGCCTTCTTTCCTATTTCTTCACTCTGTCATTACTCTTTGGTCACTCCCTCTCGTAAATGTGTTTTTTCCTTATTCATTATTGCTTTCTTGTTTTCTTCCACTTCTTCTTTGCTTTCTTTATGCCTTCTTTGCGGCTTAACTACTCTTATTTTTGTCATGTATTTACTCGTTATTTAAAAGTTCTTTAGTCGTTCTTTCCTTTCTTTACTCCTCCTGCGTTCTTTCTTTAGTTCTTAGCTCTTAGTTCCTTCTTCCCTGTTTTTTCATTCATGATTATCTCTGTGTGTATCATACATTTTCTCTTTACTTGCCTTTTGTTTACCCTGTCGTGTCTATTTCGCTATTATCCCTGTAATTGTGTCTTCACTCTTGCTTTTTCTTCAGCTACTCTTTTTTTGTTGCTTTTGTCTTTTGTTTAAATCTGCCATTCACTCGTTCCTTCTTTCTTATGTACTCTTTCTCTAGTCGTCTTCTGCGCATTCTTCAATCTATATTACTCTTCCTGTACTCTTTACTCTGTCCTTCTTGGCTCTTTCTTTACTCGTTCTGTACTGTTTCTTGAGTTTGTTGTTGCTGCTTCTTTGCTCCTCATTTTTGCTTTCTTACTCTTTCCTTGAGCTTTTCTTTACTCATTGTTTACATTCTCCCAATTCGGTTTGACTCTTGCTTTACTCTTTTGCTTCTCATTTGTTTCTCTTTGTTTACTCTTTCCCTACTCTTGCTTGAATCTGCTTTCAAACTGTCTTTACTCTTTCCTTACTCGCTCCTTACACTTTCTTTACTCGAGACTTACTCTTTGTTGAAACTGTGTTGACTCTTTCTTCACTCTTTCCTTACGCTTTCTTTGCTTTTTCCTTACTCGCTTTCACTAATTATTGAAGCTGTACTTACTCTGTCTTTTCTCTTTCCTTGCTCTTCCTTTTTGCTTTGGTTGCGCGATGTTCTACTCTTTCTTGAGTTTGTCTTTACTCTTTCTATACTCTTGCAATACGCTTTCTTTACGGTTTCTTGACTCGCGTTCTACTCTTTCTTCAATATGTGTTTGCTCTTGCTGTACTCTTTCTTTTTCCTTACGCTTCCTTTACCTTCTTTTGCACTATTTGTTTTGTTTTTCTTGAACCTGCTGTTAGTCTGTCTTTGTTCTTTCCTTGCACTCGCTTTAATCTTGCTTTATTCGGTGTCTACTCATTCTTAAATCAGTGTTTACAGTTTCTTTACTCTTGCCTTACTTTTTCCTGTCTCTTTCTTTACGCTTTCTTTACTCGTTCTTGAATCTGTGTTTACTCCTTCCTTAGTCTTTCTTTTTCGCGCCTTTTACTCTTTCCTGACTCTTCCTTTACTCTTTACTTGTTCTTTGAGCTCTCCTTACTCTTTCTTTACTCTTTCCTTACTGTTTCATTTGTCGTTTGTTTACTCGTTGTTTGTTCTTTCTTGAATCTGTATTTGTCTCTCCAACAATATTTTCTTGTTAGTTATGTCTTCTCTTATTCTGTTTGTTTGTTGCTTCTTCTTGAGTCTATCTTACCTCTTTCTCTACTGTCTCCGTACTCTTTCTTGACCCTTTCTTATTCTTCTTTTCTTGCTCTTTCTTTACTCTTTCCTGACTGCGTTTCCCGTACTTACTCGTCTCTTTCTTTCTTGAATCTGCTTCTACTGCTTCTTTGCGCTTTGCTTGCTTTTGCGTTTTGCTTTCTTTACTCGTGTCTTACTTTTCTTGAACTGTCCTACTCTTCTACTCTTCCTTTACAAAAGTGCCACTCGTACTTTACTCGTCCTTTGCTTTTCTTTACTCTTTCCTTAGTATTTTGTTCTGGTTCTTTTTCTTTTCTCTTTGCTCTTCTATTTTGTCTGACTCTGTTTGCAATTCTGGCGGGCAGGCTTCAACGCATCAAATCGCGCTGCTTGCAGAAGGGGCAGGTTGCACACCATGCCCAGGCCTGACATGTTTCATACTCAACAGACCTTGCATGCTATTCCCTTTGAATGCTTGCCCCCAGTAACAAATCCCCTCAGCTTCATCTCAACTTATTGATTGCACGCCTTCACGCCTCACAAATATGGTTGGCCATGTGACTTCTGCCAGCATGCATGCAACGCCAACATGTCGGTTGGGCTGTCATGAAAGTGTCGCACCCAGTGGGTCATTGCGAACTCCTTTTGAGGTTCTAAGACCTTTCAAGCGACGGCACTGCTTGCGTGAGACTGCAATCCCCCGCAATGTTCAGCCAGGCACCAGCCGCACCCCTGACATGTCAGATTGCGAGGTCCTTGTTTGCAAACACATGCGCTGCGCGCACGCAAGCTCAAACAAATACGCACAGGTGCCATTTGCATGCAAGAGGCTGCATGTGCAACTCCAGAACAGCTGCACTCACTGCTGACTCCTGGCAAACTATGCTTTGAGATCGCTCAAACTGCACTCAGGGCCTGAATGAGATTGTTGCCGTTCTGCGGCCACTTCTTGAATTCTTGGAGCCATTGCGAAGTGATGGCGGTCAGGAGCTTCAGCAGCCTAACAAAATGCATTCGTGTTCGTGCAAGACGCTTGTTCAGCAGCGCCAGCCTTTCTTCAATTTGCTTGTTCAGAGCTTCCACCCAAGAATGCATGTTGGAGAAGCTGGCAAGGTTCATGTCCTCCACGTAGCAGAGATGCAGATTGAAGTTTGGAAGCAAACCATCCAATCTCATAAACTAAGAAACCATGTGACAGAATGTGTGAAACCTAAGTGACATTGAGATATGGCATCTTTGAAACGCGGAGAGATGCTCATGCTCTAAATTCCGGTCATCGATCATCTTCTGCATCTTCTCGAATCTGCTCGTCAGGGCTTCGTGAGCACTCGGGTCTTGCCTCAGCGAAGGCCAAAATGAACGCTCTGCTCTTGGCAATGAAATAACTTAAATAGGAAAACATTATGACATGGCGAGAGCCCGAGAGCCCGAGAGCTTAGCTGCAGACCTCACGTTGACATCATCCAAGCTCTCGATGGCGCGGTGCATTTGCTCCGCCATGGACTCCAGCTGGGTAAACCTGGCATTGTGCTCTTTGCCAGGCCATCCATGCCATCCACGCCATCCGCTCGAGACATTGACTCGTCTACCGAGGCACTTTTGCTGGAACTGGAACACACTCTCTGAAAGCTTCTGAGTGTAGCTTTCGATCCTTCGAACATGAACGACATCCGGGTGTCTAGCTAACTCCAACCCCGAAACCCGAGCCAAGGATCTTTGAGTCGTCCCACTTCAGAAGAAGGCCTTCACCGATCAAGTCCTACGTTTTGACATCGAATACTCGAATGTGCAACTGATAAAGCCAAGGCCTTGTGCCACAAAGACTCTCAAGCCAAAGCCCTGAAATGGAGTGCTGTGCACTGAAGTCCTGCACGCCCTGCTGATAAGAGGCCATCAGCGGTGCCAGTGGGGGAGTAATTTGGGCGCAGGTCTGCATGTAGGTACGTGCTGCCTTGGCCAGAACCATGTGGTCTCATCTGGCGTCCACAATCCCGCCTCCTGCAGCGTCATGGCAAAGGGATAGTTCTGCTTGGCTTCATCAGAGCTGACCTGACACGCGCTTGCGCTCATGCCTTGTCTGCACGTGCCCCAACCCCACCTTCACCGCATATGGCACTCGGCAGTCATTGAGAGCCTGCAGATTTCGCACCTGGCACGAAGAGGACTCTTGCTATCAATCTAGCCGCCTGCTTTGCTATTGCTTGGCCTCCTTGAAGAGAGTGATAATTTGCTCATCAAAGTTCACGAGCAGCAAATATGTCCTCACCAACAAAGGTTGGCATTGCAGGCTTGGCAACGCCATGGGATCTGTCCGCATGAACCGGTCATGTGTGTAGGGCCCACACTGGTATCCCTGCTGAATGTCGAAGATTCTCATGCTCACGTCAAATTTTTTGGAGTCCTCTCTGCACACAAATCAAAAGCAATGAGTTGGCCAGCACAGAGCCTTGGTTTCAGACAGCCACTCGTCAAAAATATGGTTGGTCCGCATCCTCAGCTAGCCGTGCACGCTGCATAGTCGCACAAAGCCAGGACGTCCCTAACGTCCCTAAAATCCCAGATGTTCCAAGATGTTCCAAGTCTCTTCTTGGCAAATGCGTCGCCCTCTTGCTTCAGCGCCTTTCCCTCCACGTGGTTCTCCCACCCTTTGCCCAAGACATCCTCGAGCAAGCATCGGCTCATTCCAAACCTTCCAACCTGTGCGCCAGTTTGCAATCAGAGAGGCCTCCACTCGTCCCATATAGATAGCGAGGCGGCGTTCCAATTGCCTAGCCAATTTGTTCGCCAACGTGCAGAAAGTGCGCGTCTACCAGCGTCCCGTGCCTTGCCCAAATGATGAGCCCAGCTGTAGGGGGAATGCCTCTGATCGACGTCAACTTGCAGGCCTGACCATACCAAAATTGATGCTGCGGGCTCATGCGTGAGCAGCCGCCTGAGTACCCTCAAACGTTTCCTTGAACTTCTCTTGTAAACGATGCACGTCATCTTTAACCTGTCCCATGCACATTCGCAAACCCGCCCGAAAGAAATGCCAACCTGCTGGATGAGCGAAGACTGGTACTCCTGAGAGGTGGTCCGATTGGCCCAATTGGTTCGATCGGTTCGATTGGTGCTGTTGGTCTCGATTGGTCAGATTGGCTCGATTGATCGGTGTGTCTACCTGATACATCTGTCCATCTACATCCTCTATCAAATCGTGGCAGTCTTTCGGATCTTGGCTTGTATTTTTGTCGGCCAAAAACCTTATCGAATCTCACCCGCTGTCCGACGTATTTACCTTTCCGTGTATCTATCTACATCAGGAAGCACAAGCGCGCTGGGGGGCGCGCGCTGCGCGGCGGGGCAAGCACGCGCTACGCGTGCATCGTGGGCGGGTGGATGCGCGTGCGGGCACAGGCGGGAGGACGCACCTGCTCGTTCTTTCTGTCGCAGGCTTGATGGGTGCTTTGCTTCAGCTCGAAGATTTCTCGGCTCACATGTTTCTCTGAGTCAACGCAGGTAGAAGGCGCTTGACGTCAGCTGCACCAAGTGACCCAACGCGGTTTGCTAGGAAGCAGACCCTTCGCGCGAGCACTGAGACATCTCAGTATGGTACTCACATTCTTCAAGTGTACAGCTGGGTTTCCCTGGTTTCTCTTCCGGCACATGGCCCACGCGAATGGTTACCACAACACCGCTTCGAAAGGGTTCTGCCAAGTCAAAATTCCGCGACTCAGCATTGCATTAGTAAAGGGTTCTTTTTGTACCTGTGCGAGAGACCATAACGGCATCCGTCGAACTCGTGCGTGATGCTGTCCCGAATCATCTTTGCAACCCTTTTCTCCTTCCAACAATCACAACTTTTGGAGCTTTCTTCTTTCTGGCATGGTCTTTGGCTTCAACAAACTTGTCAAGAAAATCCAGAAGTCACGTTTCTGCGCGATCTTGTTTTCAGCTGCAGGCCCCTACTCTTGTTAAGTGCGACGAACCTCCTGTAAGGACGCGGGTATTTCCAGCCGCTATGCAGGCCTGCTGCACGTGTGGACTTGTGATTCATTGGCTTCATGTATGCAGAGGCCGGATTGTACCGAATCATGCCAAGAAGAACTGAATCTTCCAGATCGCCTCTCTTCTTGTTGCTTGGTGGTTCCAGTGTGTGTTGCTGTCTCAGCTCCTGAGCGCACCTTTGGTAGGCCTGGTCTTGCAAGTCATCTTGCGTTTCACTCCTCAATGCCTCGCGCGCGCCGCGCTTCGTGTTTGTATCAGCGCTTGTGTGACTGATACTTGCGCCGTAGACACTTGCGCCACGCCGTGCTACTCATTGCTCTAGGTCGCGCAAGGACCGTGTATCAGCAATCACTGCTCCGCTACCATGCAACAATCGACTACATGTGTGCACATGTTGCCTTGACCTGTATGTTCAAGCGGCGTTGCAGTGGAGATGCGCTGCAGAGGAAAGCCGTGTCTCTGTGTGTCTCTGTGTCTCTCTGATTGGCAACAGTTGTCTCTGTGCACGTGTCTCTCTCCCTCTCTCTGACGCTGTATCTCTCGCTCTCGTCACTCTCTCTCTCTCTCTCTCTTTTTCTCTCTGTCTCTCTGTGTGTCTGTGCGTGTCTTTCTCTTTCTCTGTCCCTCTCTGTCTCTCTCTCTCTCTCTCTGTCTCTATCTGTCTCTCTGTGTCTCTGTGTCTCTGTGTGTCTCTCTCTCGCTCTCTCTCTCTCTCTCTCTTTCTCCCTCTCTCTCTCTCTGTATCTCCTTGTGTGTGTGTCTCTACCTCTCTCTCTGTATCGCTCTCGCTCTCTCTCTCTCTCTCCCTCTCTCTCTCTTTCTCTGTGTGTCTCTCTGTGCGTCTCTGTGTCTCTCTGTATGACTACAGTTGTCGTTGCGCGCAAGTCTCTCTCTCCCTCTCTCTGACGCTGTGTCTCTCGCGCTCTCTCTCTCTCTTTTTCGTTAAAACCGGTTGTTACTTTGCTTACCAGTGCAAGTGCTGTAATGTTCAAACAAACAGTCAACCGATGTAGCCTGCAGCTGCCAACCTTTTGACTCATGCGGAGTAGTAAGCTCAAGGCCTGCGGTAGTGAACATACATGCAACACAAGTGCAAAGTGAAGCATGTAGTTTGACACGGCCCCTCAGTTAAAAGGTCTTTGTAGTACCTTTTCAACTGAAGTGCAAAACATGGATTGACAGTAGTGATGAAAACCATTGTTGTTCATCAATTCTACTGTATTGACAAAAGTAGTGACCTGCGCTCAGTAGTTCACGCTGTTCAGGTTCCAGCTCGATGTAGGGCGCTGGACGGAAGTAGTGAGGCAAATGTAGTCCCCATTTCTGGGTGCGGTAGGCTTGGACCATCTGTAGTCGACTGTCCAAGGTCGCGTAGTAGTTGGTGGTGAAAAAGGTTGTCATGTAGTTTGGAGCTCCCCGTAGTCGCTCATCATCTATCTCGGGGCACGACATGTGTTGGTCGTACTCCCGTAGAAAGCGGTGTAGTAGTGCTTTGTGGTGTTGTGTGAGGTTTGTCATGGTGAGTAGTGTGAATCCGTAGTACTGGATGCTTTTGCAGAGGATGGTAGTAATTACCTTGTGCTGGAAGTCGTGTACTTGGTCTCGGTTGTAAGGGTAGTGGAGTAGTTTAGGTAGCAGTAGTGGCATGTGGTAGTTCCAAACGTAGTTGTTCCTGAGGCTGTAGTTGTCAGTGAAGGTGGTCATGTTGTAGTTCACCTTGTAGATGGTCTGTGGAAGTGTTGTAGTCGGGAGATAGTAGTTCTGTTGTACCGACATCATGTAGGAGATGTAGTCTCTTGTGAAGTGTAGAAATTGTCCTGAAGTGAGGTACCTCAGGAGTAGTGGTTGTTCAATCTGGAGTTGGATGATGACGTAGTTGGTGTTGTCGCCAGTTGTAGTGTGAAATGAAGTCGTGTGGTAGTAGTGGACGTTGGCTGCTTCAGGTAGTGAAACGCTGAGCAGTGTGGAGTTGTAGTGGGGCATCCGAAGATATCCAGGGATGCAGTGAATGAGTCGCGTGTAGTCCAGTTGCGCCAGTGGAGTAGCTTGTTGTTGTGAAAGTAGTTGATATTCTTCAAGTGTAAATGCAGTGAAAAATTGAGTGTAGGGAATGTTGTCGGGCAGTGGTGGTGTAGTGGTTGTCTGGCGCTCAGTGATGTGTAGTTGGTCCATCACTGTGGTCGGGTTGTAGTAGACGGTGTTGCCGGGTGTAGAATGGTTGAAGTGGTAGTTGGAGTCGTTGTAGGCTTGAGGTGGTGGAGTTCCGTGGTCACTGGAGTCCGTAGTGACCGCCACCTCAGGTGTAGTTGCCCTGTCGGGCGTAGTGGCATCTCCCATCGTAGCATCTGCAGTAGATGGAGCGGCCATGGCTGCAGTGGAATGCAAAATGTAGTGAAACGGGGCAAAACAAATGAGCCTAAGTAGTTGCTACCAGGCAGGCGGCGCACGCAGACATGTAAAACAAACAACTGTAGTGTTGACTCAAGCCGCCAAAGTGCAAGTGAAAGTACATGTAGTTACTGTTACTTACGTACCAAAGGTGTCGTGTTACATGTAGCTACTTACATACAAGAAATGTCCAAAGTCGTTGTTGTTGTTGTTGTGAAACTGCTGCGCTGGTCGTTCGTAGTGCTAAATGCGTATCCCAATGCTCTGGATGAGCCTGTGTAGTGTTTCCTTGCTGATGTACTTGGTAAACAAATCTGCGCTGTTGTGGATTCTAATGATGTCGTGCTTGATGAGGTCTTGTGTGTAGAGGAATTTGAGGTCGATGTGTTTTGCTCGTTTGCTAGTGCCTTGTCGTGTAGCAATGCTCTTGCCTGCTGTGGAGTCTGTGTGGATGCGTAGGTTTAGCTTGCTGCAAATGTTGGTTTCAAGTAGGAAGTTTCTGAGGTGTAGTCCCTCATTAACTCCTGTGCACATGGCGTAGAGTTCAGACTCTGCTGAGCTGAGTGCTATTGTAGCTTGTGTTCTGCTGCCAAATGCAACTAGTGTTCCTAAATCCTAAAAAGATGATGTTGAAACCTGAAGTTGATTTCCTGGTAGTAGGGCATCCTGCCCAGTCGGCATCGACATGAACGTCGAGATCCAGGATGTTGTTGGTGTTTGCTCTGAGTGTTGTTGTTGGTTCTATGGTGAATTTGTAGTGCTGGGTGCCGTGCAAGTAGCGTAGTAGATGTTTGACTCTCTTTTGTGAAAGTTCTGTAGGTGCTGTGAGGTCTCGTGCTAGTTCTTTTGTGGAGTATGCAATGTCTGGTCGTGTGTGTGCTAACCATTGAAGTTTGCCAACAATCCTTCTGTACCTTTTGTGTTGTTCGTGGTCAAGTAGTGCTTCATCTTCTATTGTTGGTTTGTAGTGGGCGATTCCTGGAGTGGTCACAGTGTTGCAGTTGGTCATTCCAGACTCCTCGATCATGTTGTCGCTGTAGGAGTCCTTTAGTCCAAGGTTGCAGTAGTTGCCGAAGTGGTCGATGTTTCTTCCAAGAAATTGTTGTGGTTTGCCAGGTTCGAGGTAGCCGATGTGCTTGAGTAGTACCTGCTTCTGGACGGCCTCGAAAGTGGAGTCGACCGCAGTCTTGTCTCCAAGTACTAGTAGATCGTCCACGTAGACCATGATGTAGCAGTCGCGAGTCGCATTGGTGTAGACGTTGGGTTCTGACTTTAGTCTTACGAAGCTGAGCTTTTGTAACACTTCAGCCAGGTAGTCCTGCCATGCTTTTGGTGAACTGCGTAGTCCATACATGGCTTTCTTTAGTCGCCAGATCTTGTCTTGTTGTGGACAAAGTTCTTTAGGTGGCCAAAGGTAGACGTCACGTTGTTTACCGTCGTGGTCTTTTGCGATGGGTGCGTGTAGAAATGCTGTAGAGACGTCACCTAGTCGCGCTATCCAGTTTGGTCGTGACGTTTGTAGTGCGAGAAGTGTCCGGAGTGTTGTGAACATTGGTGTAGAGGCGTAGACGGAGTCTTCGTCCTCTATCTTCTCTGTGTAGCCTTTTGCGACAATTCGGCTTCGTACTCCTGGTCCTTTCTTTCTGTGTACCCATCTTGTAGGTGTCGCTTCTCTGATGACGTTGTCG